ACATATATATTTAAATCAGTAAATTTTCATTATTTATGGATTCTGTATTTTTGTATTCACCTACTTGCTAAAATGTTTCTGTAACCACTAAATCAATACTCATTGTGCTTTCACAGTCATACATAGACACATACAAAGTGGGAAAACAAAACTCAATAAGGCAATACAATAAAATAAATATGAATTCTGATTTAGAGGGAAGAAATGTCACTGTTTCCATGTAATTCTTTAGACAGAAATTCTACAAGAATCTACAAATTAATTCTTATAATTAATAAATGTATTAAGCAAGTCACCCAATACAAAGCCAATATACAAAATTACTTGCATTTTTTATATTAGCATCACACAAAGAGAAAATACCACCATTTATAAAACTATAAAAATAGTTTCTTATGTTTATAAACTTACAAATATGTCCTAGACCTCTACATTGAAAATAACAAACATTACTTAAAGCCAGATATTACTGAGCTACTGAGTTGGAGAAAATATTTATAATACATATTAGAGAAAATATTAATATCTAAAATAAAGTACCCCTACCAAATGATAACAAATGATAACAGACATCCCAATTTTGAAAATGTTCTTAGACATGTATTTAACAAAAATAACATTCTAATAATCAGTAGGTCTATTCAAAGTTTCTCAATACTGTTAAACACCAGAAAAAAAAATGAAAGCCAGATTAAACATACCTACTACAATAGCTGGAAGACAATATCAAGCATTGAATAATATTTGGATCAACTGAAATTTTCCCTAACACCATAAAATCCCTAGAAGAAAACCTAGGTAAAACCATTCAGGACATAGGCATAGGCAAGGACTTCATGGGTAAAACACCAAAAGCATTGGCAACAAAAGCCGAAGTAGACAAATGGGATCTAATTAAACTCTAGAGCTTCTGTACAGCAAAGGAAACAATCATTAGAGTGACCCAGCAACCAAAAGAATGGGAAAAAATTTTTGCAATCTACCCGTCTGACAAAGGGCTAATATCCAGAATCTATGATGAACTTAAACAAATTTACAAGAGAACAACAAACAACCCTATCAAAAGTGGGTAAAGGATATGAACAGATGCTTCTCAAAGAAGACATATATGAGGCCAAGAAACATATGAAAAAATGCTCATCATCACTGGTCTTTAGAGAAATGCAAATCAAAACCACATTGAGATACCATCTCACGCCAGTTAGAATGGCGATCATTAAAAAATCTGGAGACAACAGATGCTGGAGAGGATGTGGAGAAATAGGAACACTTTTACACTGTTGGTGGGAGTGTAAATTAGTGCAACCGTTGTGAAAGACAGTGTGGTGATTCCTCAAGGATCTAGAAATGGAAATACCATTTGACCCAGCAATCCCATTACTGGGTATATATCCAAAGAATTATAAATTGTTCTATTATAAAGACACATGCACACGTATGTTCATTGTGGCACTGTTTACAATAACAAAGACCTGGAACCAACACAAATGCCCATCAACGATAGACTGGATAAAGAAAATGTAGCACATATACACCATGGAATACTACGCAGCCATATAAAATGATGAGTTTGTGTCCTTTGTGGGAACATAGATGAATCTGGAAACCATCATTCTCAGCAAACTGACACAAGAACAGAAAACCAAACACCGCATGTTATCACTCATAGGCGGGGTTAAACAATTGGAACACGTGGATATAGGGAGGGGAGCATCACATACTGTGGTCAGTTGGGGGGGTAGGGGAGGGACAGTGGGGGAGGGGGAGGGTGAGGAGGGATAATGAGGGGAGAAATATCAGATATAGGTGATGAGGTGTTGAAGGCAGCAAACCACCTTGCCATGTATGTACCTATGCAACAATCCTGCATGATCTGTACATGTACCCCAGAACTTAAAGTACAATAAAAAATTTAAAAAAAAAAAAAGAAATCTTCCTACAGTGCAGGTGGAAATGTGTATAGATATGCTCCTTTTTAAAATCATTTGGCATTAGCAATGGAAGTTGAATATATGAATACTCTGTGACAAAACAATTCTACCTATATGTAAAAACCAAAGAGAAACTAATACTTATGTACACTCGCCATAATACATGTACAAAAATATTTATAACTATAATAGCAGAAACTTAAAATAGATTATAGTAAATTACTTACTATAAGATAAATTACAGTAATTTTAGGTAATTAAGTAGCACAAAACAATAAAAAAAGAAGAAATTACTACTATATGCAACAACATGGGCAGACCTCTTAGATATAATTAATGTTAAGTAAGAGCAGCCAGATAAAACTGAGTAAATATGATTCTATTTTTATTATTCATATATATATATGTGTGTATATACAAAAATATATATACATTTCATGAAAAGGCCAAATGACAATATGTTGATATAATTCAGAATGATAAGTATCTTTGGTAGGGGAGATGGTACAGTGCCTGCTTGGCAGATGCTGGAAAAATTGAACTCAATATGTATGACAGTTACATTTGTAAATTTTGAGTGAGTGAAAAGCTTATGATTTGTGAAATTTTACTGTAGGAATACTATAGATCAAGAAAAAGTTACCAAAAAAAAAAAAAAACACAGAAAAAGATTTGAATATAAATCTATTCTATCATATACCAATGATTTTGTTTGATACATGAGAATAGAAATATGAAACTTTGTAGAACATCCAAAAAACTTCCAGAAAGACATTATGTAGCAATCTAAATTAACGAGAAATGATTTATGCAAGTGTGGCTAGCAGCCTCCCACAAAGACTGCCTTCTCTTCTCCCAAAAAAGTGATTTGATAATAAAAGCACTGTAAATCAATCCACAAAATTTACTTCCTAGGGGTGGAATGCCTAGCTAATGTAAGCTTTACTGGAGTACATAGGATATGTACCAGCTTTTTGCCAAAGATGCCTGTGAGATCATTCTTCAAAAGGCCACCCCTCCTTACTCTTGACATGATATAAACTACTTTTATATTTATGTATGCTGGACATTCCTTTAGCGTACTTTATAGATCTTTAAATAAAACCAGCTGTCATTCCAGCTATCCTTAAGAAGAAGAAGAAAAAAAAAAACCTTTGTCTACAACACTTTTGTATATATAAGAATCACATAATTCTTAGGGTCTGTACCAAGACTTTTTACTACACTAAGCCTGGAGACTATATTTCAAGAAGCATTCCAAAAGGTCCCAAAACAGTTAGTCTGGGTTGTACATTTATAATATACTGCTTTTTACTGTGGTATGAACTATTCATTTTTTGTTGGGCATTGGTCTGCTTGTTTGAAAAATATGATGCCTTTACTCTATGCGATCTGAATTACCTTGGATGATAGAACCTAATATTATAAACAATAAACTAAACATATTCTTATCCTTCAAAAACATTATAAATCTTTTATCTGCCATTTAGATTTCATTTCTCTTTATCCTCACAATTTAGCAACATTATGTGAACATTACATAATCCAAGAAGGAAAGTAGCTGAAGCAATGACTTTTCATATTTATTAAGAATTATCATGTATGCAAAATGATTCTTCACCAGGTAAACTCTTAATTTAACAAAGCTACCTCAGACTTGGACAGGAGGCATATAATTCTCTTATCATATAAATTCAGTGTTAGTTGACTTCAACAATTTTAAAGACTAATGTGCATTATTAAAACATAAATGAAAGATTATAGAGTGATAAACTTACCTAGACTGAACGAAAGGCAGAGAGGTATGCGGTCTTCCAAAAGAAACAAACACAAAGACAGAGAGAAAAAAAAAAAGAAAGAAACAAAACAAAGGAAATGCTGAGAAAAAGCTGAAGAAACTAGAGAGGAATAAATGATCTGCAATTTAAAAGTGGATAGTGACTAGACAACACTCGCAACATTCAGATTGTTTTAAGTGAGAGAACAAGACCTTCTAAAAACCTGTGGCATAAAACAGAAGATGCAACATTCAACAAAATTAATTTTATAATTAGACAAGTGATTTCCTAAATAAGCAACTAAACAAACTATTGACCATATCATGAGCCCTGCAAAATGTCCTTAATTTGCTTACTTCTGCATTTATATAAAATGGAGCTACCACCTATGAGACCTATCCTGGACCTCAAAGTATTATTGCACAAAAAAGCTAAAAGTAGTAAATTATTCTTGAGTTCAAGATATACTGTATAGTAATTCAGACTATTGTGCTTTTAAATTTTTATTAAATAATATGCGTTAATATTTTAATAACATTTAGTATCATGAGCATGTAAAATTAAGGAAATTCTTATAGTGAAAATATAGTATGAGGAAAAGGCCATTAAATATATATAGCTAAATATTTCAGGGAAAGAACACAATTACATTTTCCCCCTAGACTCTGGACTCCATTTGAATATGAAGGTGTCAAAAACCCTAACACCTTGTTTTGTTTAATAACATTTTTAAGAATATTACAATAATGCTGAAGAAATGTATTCTATCTATCAAGTACTTAAAATGTTAACTAAATGAATACACACTGATTATTAGTAATTATAGCAATCTGAATACATATTATCATTTAATGTATTAAACTCCTCATTAACAGCATGGTTTTAAATAAACTAATATTTTATTTTTAAGAAATTGCGAAAATTAATAAATTATACTCTAACATTAAGTATTATCAACATCAGAATTAATATGTATATAATTAATGTACACTTTTCATTATAACATTAAGAATAATTATTCTAATAAGAGTAAGGGAGAAGGTACAGCATATCATTATCCAGCTCCATATATGGAAAAGGCAATTGTGGCTTGCTGATCTTACCAGGTTGCTGATGTTGGATAATGATAGTTCCCATTTTATCAATTATTTTTTCACTGGGATAAGGCTGTATAGTTGTGTAATCAGTCAGACTGCTTTGATACCATTAACTTGTATTTACCCACATATAGTCCACCTGTGTGCAACAATCCTAGAACAATGCCTTTTACACCATAGCAGGTTTTTTCCTTGAATTTCCTATCCCTGGACTGGGGATCTGACAGGCGCAGTGATTTTATCATGATGAAGCTTAAATCAAACAATGTCACAGCCTACGGAAAAGGACACAAATTCTCAACCTGAATGTCCGAGCTCTCATAAAATTCTACAGGTATTAACCAAAGGTCCCCAAAAAAAACTTTTTAGTGATTTTTTTCTCCTAACTTTTTGACTGCTGCTCGACAGAGCAAAACAGTAAGTACAAGTGAACATTTGTTTTCATTTTCTTCATTTTAGTAAAGACACTTTTCATGAGAAACTAATTAATAAATATTTTTGTTGAAATTTACAATTTTACATAAATGAGCATATATTACCAAAGAGAAGACTGCCAGTGATTTCTGGATTATGGAAACACATGCACATACACAACCCAAATATGAAATGTCCTGCAATATATTTTGCTTATTGGCATTGACTTTCATACCTAAGATATTTTCTTTTGTCCTTTCAAATATTAATATTTAATACTTATACTTTCCTTTTAAAGTCTTACTTCAAAATATATCTTAAATTTTTATACTAATAAATATCTGTATTTTCTCCCTTGATACAAAACATGCATGTTCTACATTTGCTGCAATATTTTTTAAAATTCTCCCTATTTTTCCTTATTTAGTATATGCAATTTATTCCAGATTAAAATTTTGATATCTGTATGTTGAATGTTTTTGTGTAGGCTAAAAGTAACCAGTGGTTCTGAAACTGCTCTAAAGTGCTGTTGGCATTCTCAGGAACTCTTTTAGGGTTATTGGAATGAGCAGAATCTGGCGGTCTTCAACCAGAGCAACCCTCTTTTAAGATGTTTTATGTGTTTATATTTCTAGCTAAGCTATTAAACAAACAATATAAATTTTATATTTTTTAACCTTCATTCCCCTTATCGCTCCATTTCCCAAGCAGGCATTTGACAAACTTTCTTCATCTGTCACAATGAAAATTACATTATCTTATAATGTAAAATAAGATAATGACAATATCTTCTCATTATCTTTGTGTGAAATAAATGATAATGTATTACAAATTATTTTCATATAACAGGTAATAACATACATACACATACTCATAATACGTCTTACAAAACATGGAGGAAGATAAGCATAAGTGTCTTATTGACAGATGGTTACAATGAACATAATAAAAATTCTTAAACAAGAAAGACAGGTGTTTATTAGTGAGAGAGCTAGGCTCTTCTGGCAACAAGATCTTTACAGTAAATATTTATTTTCTATAGGCCTTAAGAAGATTTTATTTGTTTTTGTATTTATGGAGATTTGTAGAGTGGCACTATCACAATATCACACTAAAATTCCAATTAATAGTTTGAGTGATACATCCAGACATCCCTAATTTTCCTTCATGAGCATGCTCCTCTGAGCCACCATTCCAATCCTGCACCTTTAATCCTGTGACCCATGATCATTGCACAAATCACAATGCCTTTTCCTCCTGTATTTTTATCCTAATCAATTCATCCCTGGTCAGGTGTTGGTCCCTTATGTCTCTTACGATCACCTTATTCTGGTATAATATACCATAGGAAACTGTACAACCTCTGACAATTAAGTTTACATAAATTATAATTATTAGCAATATTTTAAAATTTACAATAGTAATTTTTAAATTTCTCCTGAGCTTCAGACTCACACTTCCAGTGCTCCAATTACATGTAGAATTTCTACATGCATATGTATCTGGAACTGCAGTTGCAGAATGTCCAAAATTATACAAGTTATCTCCTCTCTTCCCTATTATTCCTTTTCTAATTTAGAAGTCTTAAGTGTTATTTTTATAATCTAGTCAGTTACCCAGACCAATGATTGCTTGATCATTGAATCATATTTTAATATTATAAATACATCTGGACAGACCTTTCTTTCCACTAGATTGTAAGCTCCATGCAGGGAGGGTAGGTGCCTTATTTAAGCCTGTATTCCACATTATGATTAATAAAATATTTAAATAGAAAAAACACAGTACTTCCAGAAGCAATGAGAAGTCAACTCGTCATAAGAACCTTTGCTTTACACAGCTCTTAAATTAGTTCAACCATTGTGAAAGACAGTGTGGCGATTCCTCAAGGACCTAGAAATAGAAATTTCATTTGATCCAGCAATCCCATTACTGGGTATATATGCAAAGGATTATAAATTGTTCTATTATAAAGTCACATGCACACGAATGTTCACTGCAGCACTGTTTACAACAGCAAAGACTTGGAACCAGCCCAAATGCCCATCGATGATAGACTGGACAGGGAAAATGTGGCACATACACACCATAGAATACTATGCAGCCATAAAAAATGATGAGTTCGTGTCCCTTTTAGGGACATGGATAAACCTGGAAACCGTCATTCTCAGCAAACTGACACAAGAACAGAAGATCAAACACCACATGTTCTTACTCATAGGCGGGTGTTGAACAATGAGAACACATGGACACAGGGAGGGGAGCACTACACACTGGGGTCTGTCGAGGGGAAATAGGGGAGGGACAGCGGGGGTTGGGGAGTTGGGGAAAGATAGCATGGGGAGAAATGCCAGATATAGGTGATGAGGAGGAGGGCAGCAAATCACACTGCTATGTGTGTACCTATGCAACAATCTTGCATGTTCTCCACATGTACCCCAAAACCTAAAATGCAATTAAAAAAAAAAAAAAGCAAAACCAGGGAATTCTACACATGTGATAGACAGTCTTCCTAAGGACTCTGCTAGGTGGATAGTCATTTGTTTCCTCTGTTCACACCAAGGGACTATATTGTTTTATAACATGATATTTTGGGAAATTTAAACTCTTCATTTTGGAGACAACAGATGCTGGAGAGGATGTGGAGAAATAGGAACACTTTTGCACTGTTGGTGGGAGTGTAAATTAGTTCAATCGTTGTCGAAGAGAGTGTGGCGATTCCTCAAAACCTAGAAATAGAAATTCCATTTGATCCAGCAATCCCATTACTGGGTATATGCCCAAAGGATTATAAATTGTTCTATTATAAAGACACATGCACACATATGTTCACTGAGGCACTGTTTACAATAGCAAAGACCTGGAACCAACCCAAATGTCTATCAATGATAGACTGGACAAAGAAAATGTGGCACATATACACCATGGAATAGTACACAGTATAAAAAACGATGAGTTCATATCCTTTGTAGGAACATGGATGAATCTGGAAACCATCATTCTCAGCAAACTGACACAAGAACAGAAAATCAAACACTGCATGTTTTCACTCATAGGGGGGTGTTGAACAATGAGAACTCATGGACACAGGGAGGGGAGCATCACACACTGGGGCCTGTTGGGGGGCACCAAGGGAGGGACAGAATGGGGTGGGGAGGTTGGGGGCGATAACTTGGGAAGAAATGCCAGATGTAGGTGACAGGCGGATGGAGGCAGCAAAGCACATTGCCATGTATGTACCTATGCAACAATCCTGCATGATCTGCACATGTACCCCAGAACCTAAGGCACAATAAAAATAAATAAATTTAAAAAAAAGAAAGAACCCAATGTAAAAGTAGTCCTTATTATCAGTAGACACATTTCCATTTTCTTTCTGGAATATCATTTCAAAATGACTGTTACTGAAAATTTTCTTTGTAGAATATTATTTATACACTTTAGAAATTATAATGAATTTCTGATTTCACACCTTAATTACAAAAATTTCTAGTGATGACTGACACTTTGGTTCCTTCTAAC